ACATACATACATACATACATACATACATTCACACACACACATATTCTTTTTTTTTTTGGAGCTGAGGATCGAATCCAGGGCCTCTAGCAAGCGCTCTACCACTGAGCTAAATCCCCAACCCTGACACACACATAGTCTATAAGTTGTTACTCTAGAGAAACCGGACTAATATAATATGAATAGCTAAAAATAAGTTTAAAATAAACAAAAGATTTAAAATAAATAACCTAATGATGTACCACAATGTCTTAGAAAAAAGGAACATTCTGAATCCCAAAGCAATAGATGGCAATAAATAATACAGAGCAGGGCAGAAATTAAAGGAGACTAAAAGAGCACTACCTAGAAAAGCTCAGGTCTGTAACAATCAATGAGACTGAAGCAGTAAAGCCCCCAATGAAAAGTGCAGGAATGGATGGATTCACCATCAAATTCTCCCAAACCTTTAAATAAGACCTAATGCCAATGCTTCACAAACCATTTCATACAATACATTTTTCTTACTTTCAAATTCATTCTAGGAAGCTAGCACTGCCCTCATAGCAATGCTAGATAAAGATACAACAAAAATAAGAAAATTGTTATAACATTTGCAGCAAAATTGATAAAACTAGAAAAGGTTTTGTTAAGCTAGACTCAGAAAGACAAATTCTGAATAGATTTCTTTCATATCGAGAACCTAGATTTAAAAGTGTGTGTGTGTGTGTGTGTGTGTGTGTGTGTGTGTGTGTATGAGTGTGCATGTGCCACAAAAATAAAAAGTGGATCATGAGAGGGGAGAAAGAGATCTTAAGGGATGGGGAAGTAGAGATGGTAATAGAATACATGTAATAAGAAAGCAGAAGGTGGGAAGAAAGGGAACCAACTTTGAGGGGGTAGGGGGTGTACAGGGGAGCTTAGTTGAGGAGAGGACTAAGAACAAAGTATGACAACACATGCCTGAAGATACTGTGATAAAACTCATTACTTTGTATATTAACCTAAAAAATACTTAAAACAAAACAAAAAAGACACATAAAATGAAACCATGACAGTTGCAGGAAAATGGATCAAACCAGAACTCATTATGTTAAGAGATGTAAGGCTGACTTGGACAGACCTCATGGTTCCTCTTATACATGAAACCAGGTGAACTATACTGTGTGTGCGTGTATGTGCGTGCGTGCGTGCGTGCGTGCGTGCATGTGCATGTGCGTGTGCATGTGTGTGTGTATACATTATGTACACACATACATAATGAGACTGGAAAGTGGATCATGAGGGGGAGAAAGATTTTAATCAAGTAAGGAAAGAGAAGGTGTACAGATTACATGTGACATAAAAGCAGAAGGGACTATCTGGGAGAAGGAAGGGGATTAGCCAGAGGGAGCAGGGAGCATGGAAGAGGGCAGTGGAGGAGGGAAATGAATAAGAACAAAGTTTATTGACACATATATACATATGGGTATATCTGAGACTATTTTTTTTCATATAAAGAGCTATCTCAAAATTAATGTGGTTAAAGTTTCAATACTAGAAGCAGATATAGTACTGTATTTCTGCTTCTGTATAAGGAGAATGAATTAAATACCAGGACTAAATAAATGATATCACATCAAAGAAGCAGGCCATTTCATACAATCAAGAAAATCATCCATGCACAGAGGAGTGAGCGGTTCATCAACACCATCAATAAGTCACACCACAAGGAACCTGAAAGACTGTGCATCTCAGCCCAGTGCTATGTCTCAGCAGTGCTTCCCCAATCCACACATTGTAAGGCCATTCTGTATTGCGAGGCTGGATCTACTTCTGCTTTTCAATGCATGTTTTATGTTTGTGAGGCCCCAACACTGGCCCACCACTTAGCAGTAAAGAGATAGCACTACTTGAAGTAAAGCTAACATAATGTGCAAATTAGTTTCAGTCAGTTCCGCACAAGTCAGGGTAATCTGGGAAGAGGGAACATTAACTGAGAAATTGCCTCTATCAGATTGGCCAGTAGGCATGTCCATAGGGGCATTTTCCTGATTAATAATCGATGTGGGAGGGCTCAGCTCATGGTGGGTTGTGCCACCCCTAGTCTGGTGGTCTTGAGTTATGTAAGAAAGCAGGCTGACCTGCCCACCATCAACTGCAACACTCAGGAGAGCAGGCCCTGCACCTCACCTGGGTAACACGATAGAGACAATGGTGGAGGTGTGGGTGAGCCAGCCCTGAAGTTGTGAGCATGGAAGAGCTGTCCCCATTACTCATCTGTCATGTGGTGGCATGGTTGGTGGAGAGATGCCCCCCCTCCCAGTCAATGTCTGAGGCAGGTGGGAGAGCTGGCCCTGAGGTCATAAGAGTAGGAGAACTAGCCCTGGGAGAGTGGCCCCTACACTAAGCCTGGGCAATAGCACAGTAGAACTGGGCCTGAAGGTGTAGGTGTGGGAGATCTGACCCTGGGCACATGAAAACAGGGGGACTGGCCCCAACCCTTGCTGATCACTGCAAAGGGTGAACTAGCCAAGGCAATGCAAGAGAATTCGCCCTAGTGGTGAGGACAAGGGAGAGCTGGGAGGCTGACCAACCCAGCAACTACCCAGGCCCAGAGCCAGGGTTATGGATTGGCCCACCCCAACATCCACCCCATCTGTGATCTGCTGGAGCACGTGAAGGGACCTGACCTACAGACCTCCACAACACAGGGCAACAGCAGGATAACCAAGAGGAGTTCCAGTGAGGGCCCAGCATCAATAGTGTAACAGAAACCAGAGGCCTCCAACCAGACCAAGGACTCTTTGCAATGAACACTTGCAAGTAAAGATACATGGACAAAAGGGTACACTGTGTGACTCACTGTGTCACACTGCAGCTTCCATAATGAGATTTCTTTTTTTTTTCTTGTTTCTCTTAAATTTTATTTGTGGGGGGGGGGAAGCTGCAAGGGCAGAGGGTAGATATACAGGGACGAGAAATGAATGGGACTGAAATGCATGATGTGAAAGACACCAAGAATAAATAAAAAGAAAAAGAAAAAAGAAAAGAAAAGAAAGCAGGCTGAGCAAGCCACGGGGAGCAAGTGAGCAGCATTCCTGTTTCTGTTCCAGTTCCTGTCTTGAGCTCTGGCCCTGGCTTCCCTTCATGGTGGACTATAACCTGAAGATGAGATAAGTACCCCCCCCCCCTCCACAAGTTGTTTTTGTCATGGTGTTTATCACAGCAATAGAAAGCAAACCAATATCCATAAGAAGCCCTAAATTTACAAGTAACTGAACAGAGAAAAGACAGCTTGCTCATTAAGAGGTTTCATCATGTGTTATCTATAAGGAGAAGGTTCTAGAAGCATCCAAAATACTCCAATACAAGGACACAGATACAGCTCAGCAATTACACATTTGGTAAAGCTTTTTCTGTATACATAGACACCAAAACTGGGAAATAAAAGAAACATGGACTGGATAAAAAACAATTCTAATGCAAATGACAACCTATTTTCTGGCATTTTATCCTGTCTTGAGCACCTCTACTTTGAACATTCTTAGAACACTGCAAAGAAGAAAAGTTGTTGCAGTGCAGACAGGAGAGAATCCCTTTCCTCCTGTTGGCCCTTTCTCCTGAATTAAGTGCACTTTACCTGTGGCAAATGCTTCCCAGCTACAACTATACCATTGGGCGTGCGCTCCAGGATCTGCCACACTCGGTCATAGAACCCAGGGGGAGTTCTATTCAATGACCCATCGATCTGACGCCTGTCCAGCCAACATCTGTGGAACAAAGGAAAAGTCTCAGCATTGGAAATCAGGTTTGTTCTTGGAGAGAACAGGGTTACGTGTGCCAACAGAGTGAGCAAGAGCAAAAGCTTCAGTGGTGCCTATCTGCCACGTTCAGGGGAGGAGTGAATGGAGGGAAATGTCACAATTCAAGGCATTAGCAGGCAGAATGATGCTCTCCAGCAAGCTATGAGTTGCTTACTACATCATCAGATGACTTTCCCATATCAGAAATGGACACAACCAATTTCACAGTTATTTTATACTGTTCTCACATTAATAAAATGCAAGCACCAGAAAAGCATGGAAACCATATAGCTTGATCCTATAGATCCTTCCCAGATAGGCTCAATAAATATTTGGTAAGAAATGAACAAGCAAATGTTCAGAAAAGTACTGCATATCTACATATATATGTATGTATGTGCACATACAAAGTGAAATTATCTTATTTTAAATCTTATGAAAGCTGCCAATTTAAATAAGACTGAAGACTCAGTCCAAAAAACTAGACATAAAATCTTAAAATATCAACCAGATAATCTTACACATCAGAGTTATGACCAGAACTATATTAAACTTACCTTCTAGATATTAACCTAACATACCATTCACAATTGTCAAAGGCACAGAACCTCCTTTATTTTTAAAGAACACACAGTATAATTTTGCAAAAGCTGAGAATTTTGTGTGTGTGTGTGTGTGTTCTGTCTGTCTGTCTGTGTCTGTGTGCCTGTGTGTGTCTGTTTACACTTGGTACTTAAGAAAGACAGACTGAAATGCACAATTATCATATGAAGGTGTGTCAGGATCAACAAACTGACAATATTTCTAAGTACAAAAGCGGTTGTGCAGGACAGAGTGAACAGCTAAAGTACTTGGTGTTGTGGCAGAGGACCAGTGCAATTTGATCAGTTCAGTGATTAAGAGGAATCTTCTCTGGACGGCCGAGGTCTCCAACAGTAGATCACACTACCGCTTTCCGTGTTTCGCTAAAAGGCAACAAGAAGGTCAAGGACCAAGTGATACCTTGGTGATGTTTTTCTTTGGTAACTGAATACTCTCTGCATTTGGTTTTTAACCATATTCCTTACATATGGCGACAACAACAAAAATATATTTCAGAGCTTTATGAAGTTATGGCTAATAGTATAAAAAGAAGTATTTGCTTAGAACATAAAAAGAATATGAGAATACTCGAAATGGAGCTGGGAAATTATTTTAGAAAACATTATAATAATAATAATAATAATAATAATAATAATAATAATAATAATAAATCTGTATAGGTGTTTTGCCTGTATGTATGCTTGTATATTATGTGTAGGCCTGGTGCCTATGGAAGCTAGAAGGGGGCACTGAATTCCCTGAAACTGGAGTTACAGGTGGTTGTTAGTCACCATATGGGTGCTGGGAAGTGAAGTTGGGGCATCTGTAAGAGCGCCAGTGCTCTAAACTGCTGAATCATTTCTCCAGCTCTACATTAAAACTCCTATTTTATTTTGAAAAACTTTGTACTTCCACAAGTCACAAAAATAATGCACCTTTCTTATGCCGCTTTACTCAAGCCCTCTCCCACTCTTATTGTCTTATATAATCATAGCTTAATTATTGGCACCAAGAAATCAAAAGCCATACAATATCATAAATTTATCTGTGAGCCTTATTGACATTCTACCAAGTCAGGCTCTACTTCAGGATGGCTTGTGTCATTTAGTTTCTATGTCCTGGGGGCTCCTTGAATCTGTGGTAGTTCTTCACTTATGTATTTATTTTTTAAGCTTTCATACCTTAGTAATATCTGCTGTTCCATAGGATTTTCCTCTGTTTGGGTTCTATGGTGGTTTCTTATAAAATAATGCATTTTGGGCAAGAATATCCAGAAGAGATTGGGGTCAGTTTCGAAACCTCATATGAGGGTACAGGGAAGTGAAGTCTTATCACCAGTGATGCTAATCTTTATCGTTTGGTTAAGGGAGTCTGACTGTTAATAACATTACTTTTTCGTTTGCTATGGTATGTTGAATAGAAATACTCAGATACTGTGCAAGTTTTCACTCCACATTACTTCCAACAATGGCTCTTGCCTGCAGCTACTGCTGTATTTTCTCAGTGATCATTTTCTGTTCTCATCAGTTTATCTATTCTTATTAATTAGATTCTGCCTTAAGGGAGAGTCCCTTCTCTCCCATTCACTGATCTCTATCAGCTTTATAATCTATTACTATTATTTGTGTATTTCTTCTACACAAATGAGCAGGTACACATTTGGAAAAAACAAAACCTCATCTCAGTTTGGGTCCCAGGAGCCTCTTCCAGTTTCTCCAGTGTCTACCTGCACATCTCTGTCAAATTTTGAGATGTTTTTTGCTTTCTGGCACACCTTGCATTTTTTTCTGCCTCCCTCTGAAACCAACCATTTCTCCGAGAAGGGCTGATTCTTTTCTTTATGGTGCATAGAATGCAGCTGTTTCAGGCTTGCTCATTACTATGGTAGTTTCACTGCTCCTGGGGCATCTCAGTAGACAGAACTAGAAACACATGGATGTATACACACAAACACAGATCCATGTTCATTTCTGTCTGGTGTAAAATTATGACTTCACATTGGTTCATCAATCCAATCAACCTACTTTTCCCCCCTTTATAAGAATGGCCACTAACAGTGAGGCATCTCCTTTTCAGTCATAACACACTTCCTCATTCATATCGCTAGTGAATAAGCGTTGGTGAGAAGCATGCTTTAACTGGTGGCAGCACTTAGGTGTGGTTTTGCTTATTTGGTGTCCAGCACAGTAAAGCTTTCAGGCCTTTGGCTTTGCCACTCTCCTCAGGGTAGCAGTCCTCATTTGTGTGAGCTGGACCATTTGGTGGTTTCCACTCTACTCTGGGCTCTTCCACACATAGACTGACTTAATACAGTACTTAATTCTGGGTGCATGCAACACCCCTACCCTTAGGAGGAAGTGTTCCAGGCAGAGGTCAGCTGGGGGAAGGCTTACATGATGCTCAACGGTCCTGCTGTTCTTCACCATGTTCTTCACCATGTCCCACCTGCTCTCATCCTCCCTGACAGTACTAATCACCTCAGTTTCTGACTTATTCTTCCTGAACTTCTTCTACACAAAGGAACACATACATTTTTTAAAAATAACAACTGACATTCTTTTACACTTTGCTGTTTCATTTTACAATATATCTTAGAATTGCATTCTTCAAGGGTGCACAGCACTCTGATGTATGGCACACCATATTTTGTCCCAATCATTTCTTGTGTATGGACATTTAGGTTATAGAAATACTAAAATTTTCAATTATAAGCAATGATTTATTCAATGATCTTATGCACATACATTTTTATGTTGTTGGAAACATCTTCAAAGTAGATTACTAAAAGGACCTGGGTTGAAGGAAAGAGTTCTTAGATGTCAAATTCCACCAGGAAGGGCTGTAGCTCCAGTTACATAAGCAGTTCTTTCTCCCCACAGCCTTGGCAAATGCTCACTACATGTTCTAACTTAGGCCCTGGGACAGGTAAGAAGTCTCTTGGCATGCCCCAGACATAGCTCTAATTATATATTAATATGAGCATCTTTTAAAATAGTCAAAGGCCAATTTTAATGAAATGCACATATTGTTCCTGTTCCCTCCATTTTTGTCATGGTTGGGCTGGTTACCTGTCAGTTATTGAGAATTTTTAGATATTAACTCTTCAGAGCATGTTTGGGTCAAGTTTTTTGGTTTTCTTTTGATATTATCTTTGCCATGAAAATGTTATTTAAATTTTGATAAGCTTTATTAGTTGTTTCTTATCCTACCCTTGGGTTAACTCATACTTAAGGCATTCCCCACTCCAAGGTTAAAGAGAAATTCACCAATGTCGTCTTCTCTGACCTATGTTTTACATGCAAACATGTTATTTAGAACTGGTTGTGGCGAGTCACAACAAGTATCTGATTTTACTTTTTTTGCAAATAGCAATCTAGTTGCAGAAAGTATTTATTTTAAAAGTCCAATCTTGATCCAGTGACTGATGATGGCAACGTTACCACGGAGCATTCGTAATGTGTATTTATTGAAGGTTCATCTCTGGACCCTCTTTCCTCTCCAGTGGGCCTATCTGTTTATGCACTAGTACCACATTGTTTTAGTCACAGAAGCTACTTGACATGCTTTAAAACCATGGGAGAAAGCTGTTCTTCCATGTCTGTCAGTTCTTCTCTCGTTTTTTCCACACGAAGCTCAGAAAACAGCTCTTGGGATGTCACTGAGATGCTGTTACACTCACAACTGACATTCTATAATGTTAGCTGGTCTATGACAAGGAAACTCACTTGTTTGTTCAAATATATTGTTATAGAAGCCAGCAAGGCATATATCTGTAATCACATATATACATATATGTATGTAATAAACAAATACACAGACACACAGACACACTTTAATAGACAACCTCTACTGTAGATAGTCCAGTTAGAATCTTCTAGGCATATAACTTCATCATCTTGGGGAAGCTGGACACAAGTACACTAAATAAGTACTTGCCTAAATAATTACACTACTGCTCATTCTGGAATTTTAAAAAACAACTTAAATTCAAGGCAATTCACAAATATTTGTTTTGTTCTTATTCTCTTCTAAGTTAAATATATGAAAGGGTTTAATCTTTGATGCTCATAGTCTATGTAGGGAGACAAAATCAGATAGCATGTCTACATAATGTTACTAAACCCAATCTCTTCTGCTGAAGTGTTAGGAGAAGATGCCATGTACTACAAAGCTAAGAAAAGAAAATTAATTCAAGTTGTATAAAATGTTATATATTGCACAGAATAATCAAAAATGGGAAAGTGGTATAAACTATACCTGGAAAAAATATAAAGTGCAAATCAACACAGAATCCTAAATCCAGACATTTCGATACATCTGTGTCTGTGCTGTTTGGCTGGGAAGGTGGCCTCATGTTTGGCTGAGCCTCCTCCTGGTCCAGCTGGCCTGGTACTCACTACAAAGTCAGACAATCCTTTTGTCTCACTACCGTAAGAGCTGGAGTTATCGGTGCACGCCACCACGCCATACCTCCAAATTTTCTTATTAATGTTGCACTAATTTCTCATCCATGTCAGCTAAAAATGCAGTCTGTGTCTGAGTGTCTCTGGGTGACAGAAGCCTCTACTCACCGTCCACTCTGCTGAGGCTGGAGGATGTCCAGCAGTAGCTGTTTAACTTCACTGGGTGAGAGCTGATACAAGTCCACAGCCGGCTTGTGGCCACCACGGATCTGCAGCTCATACTCCATGGCATGGATGATCCACCTGAACAAGGACAAAGGACTCTTCACATGAGATCACCTATTGCTGCTCTCGACAGCACCCTTCACAGCACTGACACATCCAGAGCGGAAGGAAGCAAAAGTCATTTAAAGTTCCTGGATCACTGATATTTCTTCCATCCAGAGTGTCCCTGATCAGAATCCTAAGGATGCTTCTGAACATGTAATTAGTTGTAAGACACGGGGAAAGCTAAGGTCAGGCTCACTGTTGCCGTATAATAGTTTATGTATGCAAATGGCTGCCACAAGACACATGCCAAGAACAAATGGCAGATAAAGAATTCATCTTAAGAAAGGGCTGAGATATGCTATCATATAAGAGTTCTCTTCCTGGGAACCACACGAATAATGATGATTTCTAAAAATACCATTTTTTTTAAACCTCAGAAGTCATTGACTTGGAGTTGGGGGGAACAGAGAAGCGCCCGTGTTTAGAATAGAAGGAGCAGTGAACTGCAACCTAACCATAGTAGTATGTTAGAGGAGTCACTGCCCCTAGACAGAAGACTGTCTCTCTCTGTTCCCTGGAAGAACAAACCACCTGTCTACTATGTGCACAGAGGTGAAAACTAGAGGATACAGTCAAAGGATTCAGTCCTTCTTTCTGCCAAAGCTGGTTTGCAAAACAATGGTGACGCTCCTTTGTGGGAAGACTTTAAGGTCTCAGTGCAAATGATGGGAGAAAAACCTTAACCCCCCAGGTGAGCCAGAGGTGGAGCCCACAAGGCACAGGTCCCTGTGTGCTGGGCCAGGCCACAGGCCAGTTCGAGTCTCCGGTCTGTGACTTTCAATCTCTTTGGTCTGAAACGAAGATAATTTCAGTTCTCCTCTCTCCCATTGTTCTTTCTGGATTCAGGAATTTGAGTACATTCCACAAAACGCTTGGCTTGAGAGAAACACAGTGCTGCTCATCTGGATCTGACCCCCTGCTCCCCATCACCACACACACACAACCGATGCGCTCAGTACTACTGAGAAGTGGTAGAAACTTTAAGAGCAGGGTCTTGGGGTGGGTGTTCTGGTCACGAGGTCCTTTCTGTTTACTCTCTCTCGAGTGCAGGATTTTTCTCTGCCAGGCGCTGCTGCTGTGTTGTGCTGTTTGCCCCACGCCCAACAGCAATGGAGACAACTGACCATGGACAGAAACCTCCAACACTGTGAGCCCAAACAATTTTTGTCTTTGTAAGTAGATTCTCTCAAATACGCTCTTTCAGTAAGGGAAAACCCACTAACACAAGGACAGGATGTTAACAATGTATTAAAAATCATTGGAGGATTTGATTGTATCCACGCCAACTGCCCCCCAGGCATCTTTAACACATTCCCATCCCCACTCATGTCCATTCCAGTTTTTCCCTGGCAACCTAGTGAACCCAGTGAGTGCTGTCTGTTGCCGTGTTGACGGGTAACCAGATTCTGGTGGCTCGATCTTGTCCAGGGCTCGTGCACAGCTGCACTGACATTGTGGGTGTGATGGCCAGGCCACACCCAGGAGACAGAAGTTCACAGCAGCCTCCCACCTCCAGCTCTTTCCCCCATCTTCCTTCATCTTCCCTAAACCTCTGGGTATTTCTTTAAATTAGCTGGAAACTGAACAAAGCTTATCTCTCTGGTAAAAAGTAGAATTTCTTGACTTGTTCACCTCCTGTATTAGAGACTATATTTGCCAAAATGTTATACAAAGATAACAGCCACAAGAACACAGTCATTTTGGATGCCTTGATGTTAAAATTCCTTATGAAATTAATTGTTATAAACACTTCAGTTCAAAAACAAAACAAAACAACAACAATAAAACCTCTCAAGGGACTGAAGCTTTTCTTTTTTATAGTCTACATAGGTTTAACTTAAAGTTACTTATAATTCTACTTTATTTCCCTCTCATTTAATGCTAAATTTTATATTTGTAGTATCCTAGAGTAATGGCCCATTACTGAGTCATGCAGTGGAAAATCTGTACTCTGGTCTCTTAGAAAGAATGGAATAAAAAGAAACACAGAATGGAAGGTACTCTTCTAGACCATGTGACTGCAGAGATGTACTACAAATGCCAAGTGTGGCCTTGCTTTAAAGAAGAGGTATGATGTCTTTGGGGACTAGCAATTGGGTGTATGATAACAGCACCGTGATTAAGAAATCATGCTAGTTGAACAGTGGTACACACAGTACTTCTTGTCTTAGGAGGTGGAGGCAGGAGGATCCTGACTTTGAGGCAAGTCTGGGCTATATGGTAAGACCATGAATCAAACCAAAACAAAAAACAAACTACCAACCAACAACAACAACAGAAACAGAATGCCCCTCCTTTTTATTTATTTGTGTTTGGGACAGACAAAGCTGGTACTGAACTTGTGGTAATTCTATCTCATTTTCCCATGTGCTTGGATGGATTACAGACCCTTTTAAAAAGGATTATATCTACTCTCTAAGATACTCAGGAATGAATGTCAAAACATTTGGGAACTTGCTAGGAAGACAACAGAATATAACAGTATGGCAGATATGATGACTGCCACCCTCTCATGTGTAAGTGGCACACTTATTCAGGTGAAAAGAAAAATAAAATTCTGAAATTCCAAGGAAAATGAATATTACTGGGAAATATACCAAGTGAAGTATCCCCAGGCCCAGATCGACAAATGCAACATGATTGCTCTCATTTGCAGAGCCTACATTTGAACTCCAAGACTAGTATGTTTGTAGTGTCTTTAGAGGTCAGGAAGCTAAAAATGGGTCAACAGAGAGGGGACTTAAGGGAGGGAGACATAGAAGAACACACAGAATATGAAAGTAGTTGGGGGATGGAGAGGCTTAAGCAAGGACAGGGTATGGAAACGGAAAAGGAGAGGCTGAAGGGAAAGATTAACCAAAACTAAGCATTATGAAAATGCCCTATGTGAACTTTTTATTTTAGAGTAAGTTGATTAAAAAATATAGTTTAAAAAATTTGAACAGAAGCATCCTGCATGGATGGATACTGAATGAAAACCCCAGTGTTGGGTGTGGTTTTATGCCCTATGAGTTCTTGGTCAGAATTCCCCAGAGGCTTCCAAAATAACACAGGCTATTGTCCCTGCTCCTGGCTGCCCACCAGAGCTAGATGGTAGGACCCAATTGCTGAAGATGATCCACACTTCAGTTGCAGGACACAGAGGAATCACGCTGGGACTGAGCTCCAAGTCTCTGCTTTGCTGACTGGCATTCATGATGCCTGAGGTATTATAGAGGCTCCTGGGGAAGAAAGGGCATCAGTAATCCCACACAGCTGTGGATTCTGTGGCTACAACACCAACCTGCCAGGCAAGATGTGTCCACTGGTGCATTGTGGCATGACTACTGAGGAAATGGGTAGCAAAGTACTTTTGGATTGCATATGAGGCCTGCTTCACCTGAGGAAAGTCATATCTGCTACTATAAACCTGGTCAAGAGCTATGGTAGTCTGAATATAATTAGCTCCCAATGCTCACAGGGAATGGCACTATTAAGAGGTGTGGCCTTGCTGGAGTAGACGTGGTATTGTTGGAAGACGTATATCTCAGTTCACTTCCTGTTGCCTGTGAATCAAGATGTAGGACTCTCAGCTATCTCTCTACTAGAATGTGTACCTGCATGCTGCCATGCTTCCAGCCATGATGATAATGGACTAAACCTCTGAAAATGTAAGCCAGCTCCAATTAAATGTTTTCCTATATAAGAGTTGACATGGTCATGGTGTCTCTTCACAGCTTCTTAAGACAGAAGTTGGTACCAGGGAATGGGGTATTGCTGTGACAGGCTGGACCATATTTTTGTTTGGAGGAATATAGACTATGGGATTGTGGATTAGAAAAGGAGTTGAATGCTTTGAATAGGGCTTTAATGGGCCATCCTAGTAGAAGCATGGAAGACAGTGGTGCTGAGGGTGATTTGAACTCTGAGGGCCTGGCTCAAGGGGTTTCAGGGAAGAATGTCAGGATGTGGCCTAGAGATCAGCCTAGTGAAATTTTGGTTTAAAAATGTGGCTACTTTTTGCCCTTGTCTGAAAAATTTGCCTGAGGCTAAATTGAAGAGTTTTGCATGAATTCCATTGGCAAAGGAAATCTCAAAACAGCTTAGTATTGACTCAATTGTATGGTTATTACTGGTCACTCTTATACAGATTTATAATGAAAAGGAGCAAGCTAAGTAAGGAAAAGTACAAAATGTACAATTTGAGGAGAAAAGGAGAACCAGGAAGTGAAATGGAACTAAGTCTTGTGTTCAAGGAGATAAACAGATTAATAAATGGAATAAAGGGAGTGCTGACCTCATGGCAAGAGCTCACCCAGCTAAGTTTCCAATTTATGGAAAGAAATTAAAGACAAGCTTAGAGAAGGGTGTGGCAGTGCACACCTTTAATCCCAGCACTCAGAAGGCAGAGGCAGGAGTATCTCTGAGTTTGAGGCCAGTCTAGTCTACAGAGTAATTTCCAGGACAGCCAAGCTTAGGCAGTGAAAGTAACCAAGAAAAACAGAAAGCTTATGAAGATATAATTAAATGAAGGGGCCATGTTCTAGCCCCAGCAAGCAGCAGAACTTGGTAGCTTTGGCCACATGGTTCTGGTTTTTAGGATAGAAGAAAGAGGCTGTGGAATATTCCTCCTTGACTAAGGAAAGCTGCTGAGGCCAAGCATGTGTCAGGGGTGTCCCTGAATGGAGGCCTAGAGAGGCCATTGTGTGAAGCTATGAAGTTGAAGTCTGGATTGTCTTGGAGAGCTCAAGATGTTGGAGATGCCAGAGCTGTGAGATACCTGCTGAGGAAAGCTGCTAGCAAGGAGTGGAACCAGCCCAAGAGAGAGAAGTGTGTTTCAGTCAACAAAGCCGAAAGGAGTTGGAGATCTGAAGAGTGTTTGACATCAGACAGAAATGCAGAGTTTGGAGTTTGTCCAGATGGCTTTCAGTCCCGTTTTGGTTCAGTATTTTCTCACTGTGCTCCCTTCCCTATGTTTTGGAATGGTAATGTAT